ATCTCATCCTGAATATGAGGTGATGGTGTTATTTCCATTATTCCCATAGATGAGGAAACTGAGGTTCAGAGAGGTTGAACAACGTCCCCACAGTCGCTCAGTTATTAATGCCAAAGTTCATGCACTTGTCACTGTACCAGTGCCTCTCAAAAAATATTTATTGAATTGAATCTTATTCTTCCCAGCAAAGAACTATAGGCCAGAATGGCTTAGGACATATCCAGAGTTACATAGTCACCTGGCAGATGAAGGATGCGTGCTCCTAGACCTGGATGTTCTGCCAGTTGCTCAGATATGAGCTGTGTGCACAGTTGATCTTTGCCGTGCAGGAAGGTCAGCACGTGGGCATACCTCTGGCTGGGGAAGGTCAGTGCCTGGGCAGCGGGGTGAGAGCACCTTTGTCTCTATCGAACTGAAAGTATTTCTCTCTCTGCCACTGTAGTCCTTTTTTTTTTGTTTTTTAAAGCAGTCTTATGCTTTCACTCCCCTCCCCTTCCTGCTATCCATATTCTGGCCCCTGAGGATCCTGACTGTGGATTGCGTTAGAGCCTGCTTCTTATGCCTTTGCAATAGACTTGAGCTGGTGATTTCTGAACTTTACTATTATGATTATTTTTAAAATACTAGAGTACTCTATCAAGATTTCTAGGATCAGATTGGAATTTAATTTGTAGGGATTTGACTCAAGCCAGAAAATAGACTTGACCACTTAAAGGGGATCGATGTTGGGGCAGGGGTTGAGAAGTGTTGGGCTTTCGTAAAAGCTGGACTGGTGAGACTAATGGACCTGCACGAGCTTGGGGATTCAGCTTCAGACAAGTAATCGGCTGCTCAGGGCTTTGCCCTTCTTTGAAGTGCATTTAGAGCTGCATGTTAGGCATGGGAGTCTGTCCTCCTCAGCATAAGGAAGCAGAATGTTCAGGATTCTCTGAGGGGTCTTGTTGGTTTGTTGGGTGGAACAATTCTTCATTGCGTGAGTTGCAGGACATTTAGCCTCCCAGGCCTCTGCCCTCTAAGTGCCAGTGGGATTCCCTGGTTATTGTGACAGCCAGAAACACCTCCACACATTTTCAACTGTCCTCTGGGGGTGATTCTGCTCTGGAGTTGAGAACCATTGGGCCACAACATTGCATTGACAGTAGGCCAGGTTTGTGTTAAGTTGTAGGTGAAATGATCCAGTGAAAGACACTGCCGTGGTTCTCTGCTTGCTTCATTTGGACTTATGTAAACAAAGTGATTCCTTTGTTTTAACTTTTTCAGTTAAAAATTTAGTTAAGCACGTATTTATTTAGTATCAGTGATATTTTCTAAGTGCTGAAGATCAACCTTCGATAAGATGGTAAAGTGCCTGCCTTCAAAGAGCTTAAAATCTAGTGGGGAGACGGATAATAAACTAGTTATCCAAAGAAGAATTTCAGATAGTATTCTCAAGGAAAGCAACATGGAGAGTAGTTAGAGGATGAAGGCTATTTTGGTCATCAGTTTTCTAAAGGACACTGAGACAGGAAATGGGAGTGGTCCATTTTAGACTGCAGGTATTTCCACATGAACTAGAGAATCATCTAGAATGTAGTCAGTTTGGGGCAATTCCCAGATTGGCGAGAAGTCCTCTGTGCGTTCACTGATAAGGTCTGACTGACCTCAGACAGCACTTAGAATATGGTGTGGGGAAGTGTTTGCTTCTCTCAGCAGCCCTAAGATTGAGCTTGGAGGTCTGGCTTTGGTTTGCTGAGACCATAGACGTTCTGGGAAGCTAAGACTTGAGGACTTTGGAGAATGTTACTCTTTAGATTCCTTGGTGGGGATATGCACACACATATTGCTTGGTATAGGCTTTGAATGTCCCTGGAAGAATATATGAGGAGCCAGCATCAGCGGTGGGTCCCCCAAGGAAGAGGGGACTGAGTGATGGGATGAGAGGGAAACTTCTTTTTTAAAATTTTTAATATTTACATTTTGTGTTTTGTTTTTTTTAAGCAGAATACACTTACATGGCTCACAAATTAAAAATGTACAAAACGGTATATGATGAAAGAGACTTACTTGGTACTGTATACTGTTTAAAGTTTTCCCTGTAGCAAATATTAGCTATTCAAGAGATGAGCTAATTTTAGAAGTTCCTTGGTGATAATGATTCACAGTGATTAGTTATATCTCAGGAAGAAATTTTGGGTTAAATCATAATGAAGGGCTGGCCCTGTGACCTAGTGGTTAAGTTCGTGCACTCTGCTTTGGTGGCCCGGGGTTTTCCCAGTTTGGATCCTGGGCACAGACATGGCACCACTCATCAGGCTACGCTGAGGTGGCATCCTGCGTAAGCACAACCAGAAGGACCCATGACTAGAATATACAACTATGTACTGGGGGACCTTGGGGAGAAGAAGAAGAAAAAAAAGATGGGCGACATATGTTAGCTCAGATGCCAATCTTTAAAAACAAAACAAAAAAAATCATAATGAGACTTCCTAGATATTAAATCTGTGTTAATTTGTCTCGTCTAGTCTTATAACGTACATTATTATTTATGGGGTAGTGTTAAGGTTGTTGCTTAATAAAATGTGGTCTAAACAAAACTCGATTATTTTGATGAAGTAGGAGGGTTCAAACCCCTGTAGTACTAGTTACTAGCTGGATCATCATGAGCAAGTTATTTAACCTTGCTTGCCTCAGTTTCCTCGTCAGCAGTAAGCTCAGCTCATACATTTATTTTGAGAATGAAATGAAGAAAGAGCTGAATAAATGTTAGCACTTACTGTTAGTATTTACCAAATACAGTGAAGGAAGCCCTCAGGAAGATAATGATCCAGTCATTTGAGTTAGAACCATTGTTCTATTCTTTGTTGCCCATTCATTCATTCAGCAGGTATCAGTGGAAGGCCTCATCGGTGCCTGATACTGTCCTGGGACCCAGGCATACAGTAATAAGCAAACAGAGACAGTTTCTGCCTATGTGGATGTGACATCAATCAGATAATCACACGTGTAAAACTGCAGTTCTGCTCAGTCCTTGAAGGAGAGGTATATGGTGTTAGTGTATAATAGTGTGTCATAATTTGACTCTGGCATGGATGTCAGAGAAGCAGTGCTTCCCCAAGGAAGTAACTTAGCTGAGATTTGAAGGGTGACTTCAAGTGTCAGAGAGAAGGGAAGGAATAGCATATGCAAACGCCATTGTGGCTGTTGTGGGCAGAGGTGGAGAATGTGATGCCACACAGACCTGAGATGTAGTCAGAGTAGATGCAAGGCCTTGTAGGCCACGCTGAGAATCTTCTTGTGTATTAGAGTTGTTGTTTACTGGGGTAGGCGAGTGGATGAGGGATGAGATCAGATTATTATTTTGAAATGATAGTCTGCAGTGTGGAAAATGAATTGGAAGAGAGCCAGCATGGATGTGGGTGAACTGATCAGAAGGCTATTGTGGTGGTCCAGACAAGAGATTTTGGAACTTGGACCTAAGTGACGGCAATAGAAATAGAAGTAGATGGACTGATTCCATGGATATTTAGGAAGGAATATTGGCAGGACTTGATGTGTTAGCTCTGGCAAGTGAGACAGAAGGAGTGGTCAAGGATGGCCTTTTGGGTTCTTGTTTGCATATTTTGGTGGAAGGTTGTACGTTCACTCAGACAGGGAACACTGGAAGAGGACATGTGTGGCAGAGGGAGAGGATTATGAATCTGCTGTGGGATTTGTTAAGTCCAGGAGACAAAAAGGCAGTCCAATGTAGAACTCAGAGGGCTCTGGGCTAGAGATCTAAGCGCATGAGCTTATGGATGTCTGGAGCCTTAGGAGGGAGGAAGCAAGGAGGAAGGGAGGGAGGGAAAGCATGCTCAGATTCCCTGAGATTTTCTAGTTGGTTTCCACACTTTCTAATTAGTTTCATGCTGGCTGACCTTGTCCTGGGACAAGAGGTGGCTCTTAGACAGGACTTGGATGAGGAGATAGACTCCTCCTTCCAGTAGAGTCCTTGCCACTGTGCTACGTGCCAGCTGTGTGCTGGCAACTGACTGTGAAGAAATCTTTGGAGACCCTCTTTGGAGTGGCCTCTTTCCTCTCCTACCTTCTGTGCTTTTTCCTAGGAAACCTGGCATTTGCCATCTGAACTAGCTGGAAGGAGTATGGAGGCTGGAGTCTGGCTTCTGAAACCCACAGATTAGCTGCACTTGTCTGGATGTTATCTGTAGATAATTGAAAATAGGCTTGAACATCAGTAACAGTAAACTAATCATAACTCTCTCAAACTGCTTGTTTTATTCATTTAGAGATTTGTAAATTTCCTCCAAGTCTGTCTGTCTCTCCCTTTCTCTCAGTTTTGGCCAGCTTAGCCAAGGGTTGAAGGCAAATATGAGGGTGAGGAGAGATCCAGAGAAGGAAATAGACTACAGCCACATGCTGCCTGCCTGTCGGTTAGTCTTTTTATCTGTCAGCCTGTCACCAGCTTATTTACAAAAAAGACTTAAGACTGGCTTGCTTTACTACTGGGAATTGGTGTCCTCAGTGATAGGTGATGAACCAGTGTTGATAGTTTGCTCCCTTCCTTGCTCCTAACAGATGCCCAGAGAAAATCCTGAGTGTGGGCAACTGGGGCCCCCTTGTGGCTGGACCAGGTTCTCCACTTTGGCTCTGTTCTTTCCCCATCAACACCGTGGGGAGATGGCAAAAAGGGAAGTTTTGCTTCCACTTAAAGCTTTTCCTCTGGACTTTGCTGTTTCCGTGAATTTTGTGATCGTCGTCAGCCCCTCATAAGCCAAACCCAGCCTTCTTGAGGTGCTGTGACAGTGAACCCAGAGACAGTCTCTTCATGTTCACTGGCAAATTCAGACTCTTCGGGCTACTTCTCACAGATAGCCCACCACAGAATACTCTACAGTGTGAAAAACTGGGGAGAAATATGAGAAATAGGTGTTTGTGTGTGTTGCTTGAGAAGAGAATGTCCTTGGTTTTTTGATGTCCATTGGGTGGCACTGTGATCTTATTTTTGTTTCTATTTTTCTTTGCAGTCAAACTCTACTCCAGGAAGTGAAAATGTGGTACCTCGAGAGCCGCTGGTAAGTGCCCAAGATATATAGTATCATTTTCTAATAATTAAAATACTGTGTGAGTTTAAAGAAACCTTCTGATCCTATAGTTTTGCATCACTAGTGTCCCTGGAAAGGTAGGTGCTATGTGGAGACTAACCCCATCAGTGACCTCTGACTTCTTTCCTGGCATGCAGGGATTAGTGAGATCTCTCCTTAGTAAAGCCTTGTCTTTCTGGAACTAAAAGCATCCACCCCAGGTGGTGATGCACCACTTTGTTTCTTGCTGGTTAATAATAATTAGTGAGATGCTGAAACTTTTGGTGACTGAGTTGGGGCGAGTTTGCTGGGCCTGACCAAGTTACTGCTTGATTGTCTGAAGTAGCCATTCTGTTCCTCAAGGTGAGAGCACGTCAGGTAGCCTTTGAAGAACAGGTAAGAGAGGGAGTTCTCTTTCTGCCTGGTCAGTAATTGGGTTTTGGATACTCGTTACCAACATTATTTGCTTATACTATCGATAGGGAAGAGGCCTACTAAGTACTGAAGGAAATTTTCTTTAGAAAGTGCTTTAGCTTTGGTGGTCTGAGCCAGAGTCCTGTGGCTGTGCCTGCCTGCCCACCCTATTTTCATACTATTTTGCATTTCAGGGCCTGCTGCAAATCTTGTTGGTTGGGTAGTAAGACCTGTCCTGTACAAAGCAGATAAGTTTTATGGAGGGGCCAGCTTAGGTTTAACTTTTCAGTCGTTTTTCTTTTTTTGAATAGTGGTAACAAGCTTAGGGATGTTCGCCAAGCTTTTATTTCTGCAGGGCCTGTGGTTTCACCTCTTTTTCTTCCCTCTCCTTCTGGCGGTAGTGGGACGAGGTGATGTGAGGTCCTTAGCTGGTACGAACAAGTCTGGATTCTAGCCTGTACTAAGGCTTTCCAAGGCAAAAGGTGAGTTGGATTTGGCAGAACTGTAGAAAGACCAGGATGATAGAAGCCCTGCCAGGACTGTTTCAGGGGAACATTGTTGTCATTCATGTCACCTGCTGTTACCAAGTGCGGCTCACTTCCCACTACTCTCCACAGTGGCTTCATTTCACTCTTTTGGTATTGCCTTGGTTCTTCCTTGAAGTGACAGTGGTGTGAAAGCCAGAGGAGGCTTCGCTTTGCCAGTTCCTTAGATAGGGAGCTTGAGTGTTTCCCATGGGGCCTGCCTCGGTGCCCCTCAGGCTGAAGTGGTGGTTGGTTTTGGACTAACATCCAAATTGAACGCTGTAACTACAGTCCTCTTCAGTGCTTTACTTCCTCAGTCTTTTTATAAATTTTTATCTCCTAATTTAGCTATTGATCACTGGAAGAGTGGTCAGACCATCTTTTGGGACATGGTTGAATAAACTCTTGGGGGTTCTTTCCAGCAGTGAGCCTGAGCCCTAAGCAGTTGGCAGCTTTGCTGATTTCTGGGTGTTGGGAACCCTGCAGCCCCTTTGCTGTGCTAATGTTTCTGTGCACTGCTCTTTTCCTGCTGTACTCTGCATCTGCTTGTTGGTTGGTTGTATTTTTATTCCTTTCTTTTCTGGGAGGCCCTGAGCAGTCTTCAAACCCTAGTAGCCTGTGATTGTCCAGAGTTCAGACTCATTCTCTCCAGGCCAACTCTACAATTACCTTATATTTAATTAATATTTTTTCCCCTCTTTACGTACTTGCTGCATAATTGCTCAGAGGAAAGAAGACACATAGCAGCAATTTATATATATATAAAAAAAACAATAATTAAAAAAAAACCTTGAAATAAACTCCCATCTCATTGGGGCTGATCCTATGAGTTGGGTAATTAGGGCCCTGTTAAAAGGTAGACCCTTTCTCCTTCCCCTCTTTTTTTTTCTTATTAATTTTTTTATATTAAACTCCCACAGTCTCTCAGTCATGCCTTTATTGCTTTTGGCCAACCATTTGCAGCAGCCTGATTAAATGAGGGCACCAGCCGAGTTGTATGGTCTTGTGTGAGCTACTTCTGTCTCTTGGGAGTGGTAGTGGGAGGGTGCCAGGCAGAGGAGCCCACCTGGGGCTAGCGAGGGCTCGTGTGGCACGTCAGGGGTTCAGGATGAGCTGTTGTGAACTGGCAGCAGGCTGGATGAGAGTCATAGGGTGCTGGGGAAGCGATGGGGTGGTAGCCCCCATCCACAGAAAGCCGTACCACACTCAGCCCAAGTCACCCTTCTGTGGTGGGAAGTTTCTTAGGCCTTGTGTATGAGCTCTCTCCTGGATGCTCAGGAGAAACAGACAATTCAAGAATAAAACTAGGCCTTCCTCTCAAGTAATTTATTTGGGGAAGAAAAGGTGTTTGTATACATGAAACAATTAGCAAATAGCACAAGACTGTATATAATTTTAGCAAATAGTACAAAATCATGTATAATTTGGTGCAGAATTGCCTGGCTGGGAGTACGAGAGAGCCCTCATTATTCAGAGAAGGAAGAGTTCTGCAGAGAGGGAGGGAGGGAGGTACTTAGGGATGGTTTTTGTGAAACCTGAAGCCAAGTCTTAAGGAGTGGATATTCCAGTGTTGGGGGCACCCTGCTAAGTTGTTTTTGTTTTTAACTGAGTGCATGTTTTCCACAGAATTTCTTAATGGAAGCTGCCTGTTCTCTACACTAAAAGGACTAAGCATGAGATGCTGAAGACAGATAATCTTATTGTCTTCAGAACTACATGATCCCTTTGGAGTAATTTTTCCCTTTATTAAAAAAATGAGTTACGACAGAAGAGGCTCTATTGAATAGTCAGTATAGTGCAAGTGACATTGACAGGCGGATGTATTTGTAGGTCTGCGTTATTATTTTGTTTTATTTGCTAGGGAAGGAGGGCCTGATTTTCATTTCTGTCCTCTCTGGACCGTAAAAACTGGCTTGTGATTTTGTGGTGAGAAGTATAGTCTTGTAGTCTCTACAAGAATGACACATTTGTGTTTCTAGTCCTCGCCTGTCTTGATTCCACCCAAGTAGTGACACTGCATGTTACCTTCTCTTGCCCCTTCAGTCCTCTCCCTCAGCCAAGAAACAACCCAGTGACCCTGACCGTGTTAGTGGGATAGTTGCTCTATAATGTCATAATGTCCTCAGAGCTGCAGATTGGTGAACAGATCAGTCTTGGTAATTTTTGTAAACCCCAAGTTGCAGTTCTGATTGTTAATGACAAAACTCTTTGCCAAAGTTACAACGGTTGATTACTTTTTCTTCCTTATACTTTCTTCACTGAGCTTTGCCTTGTAGGGCAAGCAGTTTTGTTTTGTTTTGTTTTGTTTTGTTTTTGAGGAAAATTAACCCTGAGCTAACATCTTCTGCCAATCCTCCTCTTTTTGCTGAGGAAGACTGACCCTGAGCTAACATTGGTGCCCATCTTCCTCTACTTTGTATGTGGGACGCCTGCCACAGCATGGCTTGCCAAGCAGCGCCATGTCCGCACCCGGGATCCGAACCAGCGAACCCTGGGCCGCCGGAGCGGAACGTGCGCACTTAACTGCTGGGCCGGCCCCAGGACAAGCAGTTTTGACAGCCCTCTAAAGTACTGACCTCCAGCTTCTAGACCTGTTCAAAACCTTCTGTAAACTCCCTGCAGACCGTTTTCTCGTCACCTGTGTGCACACATGCTCGGGCTCACATAGAGGCTCTGGGTTGGGTCCCTGCTCCACTCCAGCAGGATCAAGTCCTACCTAGTCAATAGGTCTTTAAGAATGGGTGGACAATTATCTGAATGGAGTAACTTGCTTCCTGTCTGGCTTGGATGCAGAAACTGAGGTTAAGTAACCTTATGAGTGTGCTTTTAGTCATAGGATTTTAGGTTGTATGAAGTAAGCAGTAAATAAAGTTTTGTTTACATGTCTGCTCACTAGTTTTGACACAGCAGATTCCTCAGTATTCAGCAATACTGTTGCTCATCTACTTTATGCAACACTTATAGGTTTGGACTAAACTGGAATTTCAACGTTTTGCTCTTTGATACCAAGTTCTTTCTAATGGATGAGTCTTCTACCATGCTCTCTTCCTATGATTTGTAGGTATAGTTTTTTTGTTTCTGTCCTTTGCCTGAATCCCTCCACCAAAATAGTCCCAAACTACAATAAATGTATTTTTATAGATGATGATGATAATTTCTACTTTCTCACCTTCCCTAGGATTAATAGTTCTTAGCATGCTGAATTCTTAAAAATAAGATGCTCTACACTTGCAAATTCATGCTGTGTCTCAGTAGTTTTGCCTTCTAAGTACAGAAGTATGCTGCATCCTCAAATTTCTCCCTGTGTCTAAGATGGAACCTTCCCCAGGGGGTTCTACATCACGTATTTGATCTCAGTCTTTCTGGGGGAGCTCACCCACCTTATACCTGGGAAACTTAAGATTTTCTCTTTGGTTTTTAAGCCAGTTAATGAGAGGCTGGTAATCAAAAGGCTGTTAATATCTTGGTGAATTCAGGGAGCTAGTCTGTGAGCTTCTCTTTAAGAATAGCTATGGCTAGTTAGTTGCCTGTCTCCTAGAGTCCTCTCACATGCATTCCTGGCCCCGTCTCCCTCTGTATTTGTGTCTTTTGTGGTTAGAATACTTTGGTGTACTAGTTGGCAGGCTCACTGTGGATAGGTGGTTTTCATGTTTTATCCCCACCAAAACATTTCCAAAGGGTGACATTCACATGCTCAATGCATTTCTTTGTGTATACTCATGTATGTATGTATGTATGTATACATATGTAGAACATATAACACATGTATTTATTTTGTAAAATTCCAAGCACTTGGTGGGAAAATAAAATTGATTTCAATATTGTATTTATGAAAATGTTTTACAAGCACAAGTGTAATGAAATCAGCCATTTAGCGGTTTCAGGAAATTGTCGTTTTTCCAGGAAAAATAAATAAATATGGCAAATCTAAAGCATTAAGCATTATTATTTTAAAAATCTGTAGTGGTTGATTGAGCTGTAGCAGAATTAGGTTTGCTGAAGCGAACTGTGATTTCCGCCCGTTTCCCACTCAGGGATGTCTGTCTGGATGCA